ACTGACCATCCCGCTTCCTGCCCCCACGGAATTGGAATCCGAGCCTGAAGTTCTGATTTGATCGGCTATCAGTTAATGCTTTTCTCAGCTCTTCCAGGGCCCTGGGAGGGTCTGGGTCCCTGCTGTGACCTCAGCGCCCATGTGTTGGGGAGCAAATGAGTGGGTGAGTGTCTTGCCTCCGGGAACCCCGGTTCTCAGACTCGTGGGCAGCAGCAGGGGCCGCGGAGCAGGCCGTTGGCTTGTCTGCCCGCGGGGCCTGCCGCCCCCATGGGATTCCAGGACCGTCATCTGAGCAGTGTTTACAAAGCGGGGAGCAGAGCCTCCCAGCCCCAGGTTAAAGATAGCATGGCTTGAGTCACCTCCCAGGCTGGAAGGGAGGTGGCCGGCCCGGGGACCGCTGCTCGGGGCTGGCCCTGCACGGCACTGATTCTCTGTCTCTGGAGAAGGGTTGGGTGGGCATGGATTCCTGCGGGGAATCCGGTTAGGCCGGGCAAAGGGTGGTTCCACCGAGGGGCTGCCACAGCATGTGTTGGGCAAGACCCAGCCCAGGTGCGGGCGGCACCAGCCCACTTGCAGGGAGGGGAAGAAATGTCCCTTCTGCTGACCCCGGCACCTGTGTCCTCATGGAGGAGACATTGAACCTGAGTGTTGAGCAGGACATACGGGATCCCCCAGTGAGCCTCTCCCTCTCTGCTGTGCCCTAATATCCTCTATTAAAAAGCCATCAAGCAGTGATCCTGAACAATTGGCACCTCCTCCGTGAAGGCCTCCTGGATCATGGAAAGCACAGGCCCAGCCAACCTCCACTATGTCCCCCTTTAACCCTTAACACCGTAGCCCCTGGAATGTCGGCCCCCACCAGCTTGTTCCTTGTGTTCACAGCGTCTCCAAGAGGGTCTGACACGCAGCAGCTCACTAAGTGCTTGTTGAATGAGTAAATGAACTCCTGGCTCATTCCTGGAAGATGGGGGAGGCCCCTGTGGCCGGATGGGGGTGAGCGGGGGCAGCTGGGGGCGTGGGCCTCCTCAGGGTGATGGGGCAGACAGCAACTTGAAGCTGCGGGGAGAGGTGACCCAGTGTCAGCTAGGAGGGCACTCGCCGGAGGGGTGGATGGGAGGGAGGCCGGGCGGGCCGGGGAGACCCGAGGAAGGTGGGCTGTGGGGGCAGAGCTGGGGAGAAGGATGGACTTCAGCTCTGCTTGGAACCTCTGTTGTGCGGAACGAGAGGAGTCAGGGGACTCCTGGGTTTTTGGCCAGAGCCCGCAGTGGGACGGGTGTTAGGGCATTTAATGCGCTGGAGAGACACCACCCGGCGCTCAGACTCGGTGGCTAGGGCCTCCCAGGAGCCCCGCTGTAGCTGCCTGGGTCACTGCCGGATACCTGGTGTCCAGGAAATTGTCTGGCACGTGTAGGCAATTCCATTTGTTGATGAATAGGTGGCTTTCAGCCCCAAGGAAGGAAGGCCTTAGAGATGCTGAAGCAGCTTAGGGTGGACTTGCAAAGGGCCTCAAGCTCGGGTGCACGTGCAGCTGGCAGGTAACACAGGTGAGGAGGCAGGTAGGCAGCTGTGACCCAGCTGCACCCACTAGAAGCCACGAAGAAAACTAGAAAACACTTTGAGCACACCACACAATGTATGAAAATGGAGTGCAACTAAATCAGTGCGTGGGGAGAAATGCGTAGCCTTAAGTTCACGCTAGAAAAGAAGTAAAATAGAAAATCAATGACCTAAGGCCAGAGTCCAAAAACTACAGCCTGTGGGCCCAACGCTGCCTTGTTTCTGTAACTAAAGTTTTATTGACACAGCCACGTGTTTACACCCTCCCTGTGGCTGCTTTCATGCCCTAAGGGCAGCAGCATAATTGCAGCAGACCCCAGCCAGCAGTGCCTAAGAGCTTTACTGTTTTGCCTTTTAAAGATGTTTGCCAACCCCTGAAGCAAAGTTTCACCTCAGAAAGCTGGAAAAATAAGGACAAATTAAACTCAAAGAAAATGGAAAAAAGGAAAGAAGAAAAGAGTGGAAATCAATGAAACAGACAAACTGTAGAGGAAAATCAATGAAACCAAAAGCCGGTTTCTGTTAAAAGTTCAATGAAATTGAGTGAAATGTCCGGTTGGAGAGGTGGTCTGGATTCAGCCCTCCTGGGGCAGCCTGCGGTCAGTCTGACTGAATCCAGTTTCCTCATCTGAAGGACAAGTTGTCCTTTGTGCAGTGTGGGGGGGCGGCTAGGACAGAGGTGACCTTGGGAACATGGCCCCCCTCCCTGGTCCTCAGTTTCCTCATCAGTAAAATGGGGCAAGTGGTAGCAGCTGTTTCCCAGCACTGCTCAAAGGGTGAAGGGAGTTTGTCCATGAAAATGCCCCGGTACACAGTAAGTGCATAATGCAGCTGTGGTGATCACAGGGCACTTACTGTCTGCACACTCGGTTACAGTGCGTGGATGAACGAACAGTTCGGTATTTATTTGAATGTGTCTTAGGGAACAAACGTGAGTTCACAGACATTAATACTGAAAGTGACCCAAGTTTAAAAATAAAAACGAGTTTGTATTTTTAGTTTTGTTTTTTTTTCTGAGATAAAACACCATTTTCAAGTGGGCAGTTCAAGGGTTTATAATATTTGCAAGGTGGTGTGACCATCACCAGTCTCTCTAGTTGCAGGAAAGAAAAAACCGAGTTGATTTTAAAAAGCCTGTTTAAGGGGAAATACTCAGTGACACAAGGAATAGGAAATAAATTAGTAAGAGGGCAGGTGGCTGGCAAAGACGCTGAGGACGGCAGACAGGGAGGTTTGGGAGTCCGCGGGAGTGCCGGAGAGCGGCAGGGCCAGTAAGGCAAAAGGGGGCTCAGATCCAGCAGGGCACGGGGCCAGGCCCTGTGCCAGCCCCAGCCTGCCAGTCTTCGTGGCCCACGTGCCCACAGAGAATGGGGACCGGCACGGAGTCTGAAGGACCCCAGGGGAGCTTCAGGGAAGGCAGGAGATTGGGTCCAGCCCCCCTGAGAGGTCCAGCAGCTCCTCTTGGGAAGAGGACATTTTTAAAAAACTTGCCTTTGAAACTGGAAACCCCGGGTGCCTCCCAGGGCTATAAAAAGGCAGTGAACACTGACCAAGCTGAAAATAAAAGATCTCCCGCCCCCACCCCACTCACCCCCCCCACAGGGGAACTGGGGGCTGGGAGGAAGCGCTGTGTGGGCCACGCAGGGGTGGAACTTGCTCTGTGGCCTGAGACAGGTGTCTGCCCGCTGGGCTCTGGTCCCCAACAGCATAGGACTGGGCGATTTCCAGAGACTCAGTTGATAGGGAGATTTAATACGGCTTTACTGTTATTTACAGAGGCTGTAAGCTGGAGAGGGGGCTGCTGGCACGGCCTGGAACTTGGTACTTTCTGGGGGTCCCAGCCCCACGCAGTGGGACAAACGGGAACTGCTATCCGACGACTCCCCCTAGTGGCGCAGAATGCCCACCGCAGCACCTTTTGGGTCCCTTTCGGGCAAATACACGCCACAACCTGTACTCCGGGTGGGGTGGGGGACACAGATCCTGTGCCTAGGTCGGCCTCTCTGGCTCTTCTCCGTCCCTCAGAAGCACCAAGCACCCTCCCACCACGGGGTCTTTGCCTGAACTGTACCCTCTGCCTGGAGTGCACCCTCCAGGAAGCCTCCCAGGACCCTCCCCGGGATCAGCACCCTCTGCATCCCCCATCACACCCAGGACCACCCTGGTTGCAACCACTAGTCGCGTGTCTATCTACCCCACGGAGCTGCAAATCCTGGTGAGGGCAGGAACAGGGTCTGCTTTAGTCAACACTGTGTCTCTGGAATCTAAACCCATTCCTGGCATACAGCAGGTGCTTAATACACACTGTTCAACGAACGAATTCATGGGCGAAGAATGAATGAACAGGGCAGTCCAGAAAGCAGGAAGGGAACATGAATCGAGATTGACAGCTAAAAAGACTTGAGCATTCATTCAAATTCGTTTGTTGAGTGCCTGCTGTGTGCCAGGCACCGCGGTCCAGCAGTGAAATCAACAGACACGACTCTTGTCCTCATGGGCCATGCAGATAATAAACAGTGTGTACAATGAATAAGTGACTTATTTTGTCCAAAAGAGCATTATGGAAAGACAGAGCAGGGTCAGGGGGGTCTGGTGGGTGTGACTGCAAATTAACTTTAAATGGGGTGCTCAGAGAAGCCTCCATTGAAAGGGTGACATTTGAGCAAAAATTTGAAAGAGGTGAAGAGGGAGCTGTGTAGGTATCCGGAGAGGGGCAGTCTAAGCAGAGGGAACAGCCTGTGCGAAGGTCCTGGGGCAGGACCTCTCCTGGTGTGCTGAGGCCCATGTGGCTGGCACAGAGTGAGCAAGAGTTAGGGAGGGTAGGAAGGGGATGGGGCATATGGCTCAGGGCCTTGGGGGCCAAGGGAACGATTTGGTCTTTGACCTCAAGGGAGGTGGGAGCCTGGAGGGCTGTGGAGAGGATGGGGAGACCTGACTCGGGTACTCAAGGCCTCCCTCTGGTGGTTTCAGGGAGAACAGACCGTGGACAGCTCGAGATGGGGTACAGATTAGTCACACTCGTGTCCCTGGGTGGCTGGGAATAGGGGAGGGAGGGCAACTTTACTCCATTCATCTTTGGTGCTTTTTGATTTTGAACCATGAGAAGGTACCTGATCAGAAAATAATTTTAAGTGCACATCCGTCAGTTATGTGTTTATGTGGTTTTGAGGGAGGCCAGGGCAGTGGGAGTGGGTGATAGTGGTGTCTCACTTCTACTGTGCCTCACCAGGCAGTGGGATAACCAGCCTGTGCTTGACACACACATTTTCGAGACTGAAATGCAGCGCCCAGGCCAAGTGGCAGCAGTGAATGTGCTGTGTGATGCTAGGCCAAGCACCACCCTCTCTGAGACCCTCTCTGAGTCCAGAGAAAGGGAGAACATTTTTAAAAGATCTCACCACCTCAGAGAGACATCATTCCAAGCAGGGACAAGGCTACTGACCTCAAAAATAAATCATCTGTTATTTATTCAAATTTCACAGTTTTTAAAGAGGGGGAATTTTCCAAAAAGTTCCCCCTTATTTTTCTTTAAGGCTGTTTGACTTAAGAGGGAAGAAGGACCTTCCCCAAACCTCACGCCCCGCTGGGGCTGGCTGCCTAGGAGCTGCCCGTGGCCACCAGGGGGCGCTGGGGCCGCAAGAATTGCAGCCCCTCCTGGAGTTGCCGTATCGTAGGTGGTCTGCCTTCCAAGCGTTTGCCCATGGGGTGCCTGCCCACCTTCCGGAACACTTCCCAGACCGTGGCTCATTCTGACATATGCTTCAGGTCTCAGCTTACTTCCCCCTTCCAGAAGCTTCTCTTAATTTCCCCAGGCTGGTCAAAGTTCCCCTTTGGGCCTCTGCGCCCCTAACTTCTCCATCACGAGCCTGGTCACCCTGTAATTCTTTGCCTCTGGCACTGGAGCGTGCGCCCTGGCAGACAGAATGGGGTGGTCTTGGGTCACCTCAGGAGGGCGCCCACTCAGCCATGGCTGTGTCCACAAGGCCAACACAGGAGGAGCTGCATCCATGTTGGCTGGACAAATGGATGGATGAATCTACATCCTCACTGCCGCCTGAACTCCGTGGGGATGGGGTGGGAAATACACTCAGCTCAGGCCCGTACACAGTAGGTGTTCAATAGTTGTTCATCAAAAGGAGTCATTGAGTGGTTATTTTGTGCCACGCCCTGGGCTGGATTCTGAAAACACAGCGGCGACTGCGGTCTGCCCCCGGTCCTTTCAGGGTGAGCAGGGTATGGCGGAGAAATCGTGAACTAACACCTAACACCTAACACCATGAACAAGAACAGTTCACAGAATAAAAAGAATGGAGGCGATGAATTAATAGGCTGCAGTGTCCATATGGGTCAGAATCCAGTAAAGGCACCTGGCTCCTTCTCTTGTTACTTGAGTGACTTCACCTCTCTGAGCCTCCGTTTCCTCATTTGCAAATTAGGGACAGTGATAGTTTCTAACTCCTGGGTGCTTAGGAGGATGAAATAAGCTCCTTGGCCTGGAAGGCCTATGATCATCTTTTCAATGTGCTGGGGTGACCCAGGGACATGCAAGTATCAGAGTTCCAGAACCTGAGGTCACTAGGGTCATTGTACAGGTGGGAAAGATGGGGCCCAGGAAAGGGCTGTGACTTGCTCCATCTCACAGTGTCCCAGAGATGAAATAGGGGCTCATGTTCTGAATGTGCCCACTTTCCCTCCCTCGTCTGCCTCCACCTGGGCCTAGACTCCGTCATCCCCTCCGGGACCAGCTCAGCGGCCTCTCCTCTGGTCCCAGGCTTCCACTGTCACCCCACAGCATCCTCCCCGCAGCAGGCCCTAAAGGGTGCCTGTGAGCACCAAGTCAGTTCCTGCCCTCTTGTGCCCACAGCCCTCCCTCCAGGGGTTTTTACGTCCCTGGGGGTAAAAACCCAAGTTCTCCCAGGCCACAAAGCCCTGCCCAAACTTCCCTATCCTCTCCCTGCCTCTCTCTCACTCTGTTTCAGCCACATGGGCTTCCTCATTGTTTCTCCCACCTGCCAGTCATGGTGCTGCCCCAGGACCTTTGCACAGGTGGTGCCCTCCACCCAGAAGAGCACCCCACCTCCTCCAAGCTCTTCCCAGCATGGCTAGTTCCTTCTCTTCCTCCAGGTCTTGGCTCTATCGCCACCTTCTCAGGCCCTCCCTGGCCACTTGGACTAAAGTTCTCCCTCCTGAGACACGCCCGTCACCTCACCCTCTTGCTTTCTTCCCAAGAAATGATCTTGCTTCCTTTTCTGATGGCTCTTTCACGGCTTCCTGCCCTCTACCTCTAAGATCACATCTGTCTTTGCTTCCACTGCACCCCAGTGCCAGGGACAATCCTGGCACACAGTAGAGGCTCAAAAAATGTTGGGTTAAATAATGAAATGGCCTGTTGGTTGCAACTACCCAGTTATTTGCAGCTGGCTCGTGCCTCGATGCTCAGGAACCCTCTGTCTCCACCCCTCCACCCTAGGATCTAATCTCAGGCTTTCTGCCCCATGTTTCATTCCAGCACCCATGGGAGCTGGGGAGCAGAGCCCTGACGAGTCTGAGTCAGCAGCCAACAAGTGGTGTAGGACCGCCTGGGTGACTCACATCAGGCTCACCCTTCACGGCCCACGAGCAATGGAGGAAAGGGCGTGCAGAGTTACTGCTGGTGTCAGATGTGTGGACAGGAGGGGCCCACGGCTTCCTGTCTCAGCTGGCTCAAACTCGCCCTTCCTGGCCCCTCAGTCCTTCTTTCCCTTGGAAGTTCAACTTCTTCAGTTGTGATCTCCCCACCTCTGATCTGTGTGACTTTGGGGACCGGAATGCACGCCCTGGAGGCCTCAGTTTTCCTCAACTCTAAAAGGGGCCTAACAACAGAAGTTGCTACTGGGGAGGTGGGAGGGAGGTCCTTTTTTGTAATGAATATACATTTAGCTATTTAAAGCCTCCAGAATTGATCAATGGCAAGTGCTCAACCAATGTGAATTCTACTCTTATTCTCAAAAGGTCTGTGACTCAAAAAGATGAATCCCCTGTAGGCCGGGCATGCACAGTGAATGAGCACTCACACCGTCCCTGGCATTTCAGTGTTCTTGTGCACCATCTGCTGCCACCTCGACCCCTTGGCACCATAAACCCACTTCTCAGGTGAGACAGCAGAGGCTCCAAGAGGTAAAGGCACTTGTGCAAGGCCACACAGTGGGATCTAAGCCCAGTCTTGGTGGAGGCACCAGGGCATATACCTTCCTCCCCACAAAGAGGGCTGCATTACGAACTGCTAAAGGCCCCCTAGTGTCTTTTCTATTCACCTGCTGTAGTATTCGAACCGAGACTTTCACGGAAGCGCGTGGCCCGTCGAGACTACATTTCCCAGACTTCCTTACAGCCGGGGTCCACGTGACTACGTTCTGACCAATGAAATGAGAGCAAAGGCGCACAACTTCTGGTTGATTCTCTTCAAGGGAAAATCCACTTCTCCCTTCTGATACCTGTTTTTTGGGAACAGTAGCCACGTTATTTGTCTTAACAGAACGCAGAGCAGAAGTCCCCCAGAGGATAATGGTGCTGGAGAAGCATTCAATAAATATTTACTATAATTAAACACTGACCAATAATACCCCCAGCCCACTCAGACCAGCAGACCACTATCCAGGGAGAAAGAACTTGAAAATGTCACCTCCAATTCCGGCCACCCTGCAGGCCGGACGATCATTGCAGCCCATTTTGCACTATATCCTGAGAGATGAAGGTCTCCCCAGCAATGTCCTGAAAGTAGCAAATGACCCCGTTCCTGTCTCTCCCCTAGAAATGGGAGGAGGGGAGAGGGGGAGCTTGGGATCATCCAAGGTCCAAGGGCAAAGAAGGAGAAAAGGTCGAAGTCATCAGGCCCGGTCACTAGGCTGTTCGGCTTCCCGGGTATTGTCTTCGGGCACTTGTGTCCCTCTCTGGTTCCACATGTGGTTGTTAAGGCCCAGCTGCACCATTTGTGCATGCTGGATAATGAGGGGCTGCAGCCCAGGACTCCGAGGGGACACCGGTGAGGCCTGCGGGAAGGTGGGGGCCTGTGGGAAGGCTGGTGGGGGGGTGCCAGGAAGCCATGGATTCGGAGGTGGCGGCTGATGGCCCGGCCAGGTGGGAAAGGGTGGCGGGGCTCTCAGGGGCTCCTGGCCCCCATAATGCACCTGAGCCGGAAATGGCACGTGGCTCCCGAAAGCTAGCTGGAGGTTCTCCATCTGTGTCTGCAAGGCCAGGTAGCTCTGGTAGCTCTGGACATAGGCGGAGTATGCAGCGCTCCACGCTACTGCCTGCTGCCGCTCGCCCTCCAGGTGCCGGTGCTGCTGCTGCAGGGCCCGGACCCCCTGTTCCCTCCTCCAGATGGCCTTGAGGGCCCGCAGCCTCTGGGGTTTGAAGGTATTGGCTACCTTCCTGGCGAAGACCTTCGAGTGCTCATCCAGCCACACGAGGCCGGTGAGCAGGCTGGATGTGTCGGGGCTGAGCTGGGCCAGCGAGCTCTCCAGGGGCAGGAAGGGGACCACGCAGTCCTGGCCGCCCTGCCGCGTGAGGCTGCTCATCAGCGACTGGCTCACCTGGTGCAGGCTCAGGCGGCAGTCGAAGCTGGCAGTGAGCAGCAGGATGGTGAAGGCCGAGTGGTCTATGGCATCCTGCAGGCAGCGAAGCTCGCCTCGCCCGGGCACCTGGAAATCCTCGCAGAAAGTGGCCCCGTCGGGCACGCCCAGGGCCTCGAGCCGCTCCCGGACCCGCAGGGCAATGTGCTCGTCGGCCCTGGCGTGCAGGATCACGAAGTTATAGAACCTCTGCTCCCCTGACTCCAGCTGCGGAGAAGGGGGCTCCGGGGCCGAGGAGGCAGGGTGCCCCAAAGAAGGGGTCAGTGGAGACGGACAGGGAGGGCACGCCTTCTGGGCCGCGGGAGTGGCTGGGCACGGCTGGGCCATTGGGGAGGCAGGGTCTTCTGTGGGAGGTTGTAGTGGCGTCTGGTCCTCGTCAGAGCAGGTGTTTCTGGAGGGCAAGGGGAGCGCCTGGGCAGCTGCGGGCACGTCTGGGCACTCTACCGGGTGCTGAGTGTCGATGTCTAGACCCTCTGAGGGGTAGGGCCCAGCGGTAGGGCTTGCATCTGGGGCCACCTCAGGAAGACTGGGGGCTGGGGGGCTTGTCAGCACGGGGGGGCTGGCAGTCTCCTCCAACGGGGGGCTGGCGGCATCCCCCGACGGGGGCCAGCTCATCTCCTCTGGCTCCTGGAAGCCCATGGGGGCAGGCTGGGGCACCGGGCGGGCCGGGGGGTTGTCACACAGCCTGCTGGGCCCGTGGGAGCCACGGAGCCGGCTGAGAAGGGGCATGGTGGGCGACTGGCTAATTTCCAAGTTGCTGTCCAGGGAGGCCGGGCTGCCGGTGGACCTCAGGGGACACCCTCTGCTCCAGCCCGAAAGGGGCTCGATGGGCCTTGGAACGCTGCGGGTCCCAGAGGGAGCCGCTGAAGATGGCGGGAGGCAGCCCGAATCAGAGCGGAGGGGCCGGAAGCTCCCGGGGTCTGCAGTGATGCTCCAGCCACACCGGGCCTGGGCTTCCTCCTGGAGCTCCCTGAGCCGGTGGTCGTCTCGGGAGCTGAAAGCACGGAGGGCTGCCTGGTAAGCCACGTCCCGCAGAGGGGCAGGGCACAGCTTCTCCTCGGTGAGCAGGTGGTAGACCCGGGCGACAGCCCAGGACAAGTCCGGAGGCCCCTCGGGGGCCTCGGTGCTGTCCATGCCGGCCCACTGGCAGGCCACAAACCGGGCGGCAGCATCGCCCTTCAGGGCCTCCAGGGAGATCCTGGCCTCAGTCTCCTGGCCCAGGCTCAGGAGCACCATAGCGTGCAGGAGGTCAGCCCCCCGGTAGCCCGGGCGTAGGGCCTTCAGTTTGTGCTTAAGGTACACAAGCTTGTCCTGGCCTGCCGCAGCTAGGATGTCAAAGGCGCCAGACAGCGATGGACTCGTGCAGGCCATGGGACAGGTGGGTGCGGCCTCTGGCGGCAGGGGAAGAACTGGGTGGTGGAGACATGTTCTACGCCACCCGCCTTGCTGCAGGCCCGGCGTCTCCTACCTGCTCGCCATGCCAGGCGCCATGGGGGCTACTGGAGCAGACCTGGGAATCAGGAAACACCCCATTACACCAGAAAGGGAGCAGCTTTGGGAGGCAGCCCAGACACCCCCACCTGCCTGCCTTCAAATCCCACCACAGTCTAGTGGGGTGACCTTGGGCCAGGTATGTCACCTTCCCCAGCTGCACCACTTCCTGGCTGTGACCTTGGACGGGCCACCTGCACCTGGTGCCTCAGTCTCCTCATCTGTGAAATGGGCACAGGACAAGCCCTGCCCTTGCAGGTTGGTGTAGGTCGAATGCGTTCATATGTGGAGAACTACAGGAGCACACGGTGGGTGCCCCATGGGCATCCCATGCCTGGCTACTACCTGCTGGCAGCAGGCACGGGAATAGGAGACCCTCCCCCTCCAGGAAAGGCCTGGGATGGGTGTTGTGGAAAACGAGACAACCAGCCAGATTCAGAATCAGTGAGGCAGGACCACCCCTGCCTGCATTCCTGGCAAATACGTGACGTCACACAATCTTTCTTCTCCATCTCCCCACCTACCAGCCCGACTGAGTGGCCGCACCAGCTCTGTCCCCCTCCCAGGAGGCTGTGCCTGGGCATGACCCATGCCCATGCCATCTGCCTTGCCCGGTCACCACCCCAACCTTCCGGAAACCCGGAATTCCTCCTGCCCCACCTTCCATGGCCTCCAGGACAAAGTTCACTCCCCACTCAGGAAAGTGGGTGCCTGGTAGGAGGAAAACACCCACAGGGGCGGGGGCCCAGCTCTGCCACCTGCCAGCATGTGGGGCCCATTTCTCAGCCTCAGTTGCCTCATTTGGAAAGCCAGCACGAGAGAGCTCAGTATAATCAGATAGAATAAAGCCTAAGAATAAATCAATACACCTCGGCAGATATTTTTTTCTCTTTTTTTAAAAATAATTTTAAACCACATCTGGAATATGCCCTTTGCCTTCTCTTCGATCCTTGAACAACTTCCAGTGTTTCTCCCTAAGGTGGGAAATATTTACTGAGCACATACTGTGTGCCAAGAACTGTTGTAGGTGCTGCGCACACCAGGCTGGGCATATCCCCGCCCTCACAGAGCTCGCCGTCCAGCTGTGGGGACCAATAGTAAAGGCAGAGAATGAAAACTGCTGTGTGCAGAAAATGGCCTAGGGCAGGATGGTGAGGCAGGAGATTACAGGGGGCCTCTGGGAGGACGTGCCGTGTGAGCTGAAGGAGGAGAGGGAGCACCTCAGATGGTGATTGCAGGGAAGAGGGCACAGCATGTGCAAAGGCCCTGGGGCAGGACCAGGCCTGGTGTGGGAGGAACAGCAAGAAGGCCTGTGTGGCTGGAGAAGAGTAAGACAGGGGAGGACAGGGAGAGGAAAGGGGTAGTTCGGGCAGGGCCTTGTGGGCTCAGAGGAGGACTTGGGCTTTGACCTGGAGGAAGGTGGGAAGGGCTGTGGGCAGAGGTGGGGACCCGACTCAGGGGCTTAGTGGCGCCCACTGGTGGCCACTGTGGGGAGCACAGGCTGTGAGGGGTGAGGGCAGAACTGGGGCACCAGTATGGAGGTGACCGCCGACTCAGGCCAGCAATGATGGGGGCTGGACCTCTAGGAAGGAGGGCAGTGGTTGGAGCTGTGGGCAGAGGTGGGGACCCGACTCAGGGGCTTAGTGGCGCCCACTGGTGGCCACTGTGGGGAGCACAGGCTGTGAGGGGTGAGGGCAGAACTGGGGCACCAGTATGGAGGTGACCGCCGACTCAGGCCAGCAATGATGGGGGCTGGACCTCTAGGAAGGAGGGCAGTGGTTGGCTTTGTGGATAATTTGGAGACAGGGAGGGGGGCAAGGAGGAGGAAGGGAGGACACCTGGGCTTCGGCCTGAAGGCTTGAGACAGGTAGATGCAGGAGAAACCAGTTTGGGGGTCAGGAGGGAGAAATCAAAGGTTGTTTTAAGCCTGACTCATTTGATCAAACCCTCCCTATCGGCCCCCATCCCCGTCCTGCCCCTTGCTCCCTGTGATCCACCCACTGTCCCTTGCACACACCACACTCCATCCTGTCTCAGAACCTTCATACAGGCTGTTTCCTCAGCCTACAACACCTTTCTCCAGATGCCCGCATGGTGGCCCTGTCACCTCCTTCAGGTCTCAGCTCAGATGCCACCTCCTCAAGGTCAACCCTGGCCACCCTGCTTAAAACGGAAGCCCATTTCCCCCACTCCCAGCTTTATGTTCCTCCTTCCCATTTCTCTCTACCTGACACTATACTGATTTCACCTATGTCCTTAGTTGAATATGCATTGCTTCTTCCCAGAAGCACCAGAAAAACAGGGATGTTCATCTGTCTTGGTCAGAGGTGCATTTCCAGCGACTGCACACAGTAGGTGCTTAATACTGACAGAATCATCAGTGAATGGACAGAACCCGGCACGTGGTAAGCACTCAGTAAGTGTTTCCTGCTTGAATCCTCCCCCTCCAGCAAGACAGTAAGTCTGATCTGCTCCCACCAGGCCTGGCACACAGGAGGGGTACAACTCACTGCTTTTAGCTAATTAAGCAATGCTACAGGGAGACATGGAGGGCAGGCATAGCCAGACTGTCTCTGAAAACTGTGTAGGAGGCCAAAGGGGCAGTCATTCATTCATAGAAGTGTTTATTAAGTACCTACTATGTGCCAGGCAGTGTGCAAACGCAGGACAACCCTGTAAGTTAGGACTGTTTTGACTACTCATTTTCAGAAGAGGAAGGGAGGCACAGAGAGGTACAGTGACTTGCCCTGGGTCACACAGGTGGAAACGAAAAGAGGCAGAGATTTAAGCCAGGCAGCCTGGCTCCAGGGCCCCTGGCCTTAGTCACTAAGCACCAACTATGTGCATGTCTTTCCCATATGTGGGTCTGAGGAATCCCCAAGCCAGGACAATGGGGCAGCTATGAGATGTCTGCTCTACACTGGGCAAGCGTCCCCTTGACCATCAGTTTTTGCTTGTTCTCCTGACTGTGGGCTGAGAAGGCTCCCGGACCTCAGGTGATGGGGGCTGGGGAGAGGGAAGCACGCTCTCCCTGCCGGGAGCCCCGGAAAAAGTGTATTCAGGGCCTGTGGGTGGGGGCAGTGGGGGGGTGTGCTGGGAGAGACTCACAGGGCCGGGGCAGAAAGCTCCGAGCTTTGGGAGGAAATCAGAAAGACGGGGGAGGAATGGAGTGGGATTGGAGGTGTTGGGGAGGAATCTGGGGCGCTGGGTAGGAATCTGGGGTACCTGGGGAGGATCTGCGGTGTTGGGTAGGAATCCAGGGGGTTTGTAATTCCGGATGTTGGGAAGCAATCCGGGAGGTGGGCAGAAATCGGTGGCGGGGGGTGGTTGTTGAGAAGGAGTCGGGGGTCTGGGGAGGCCCTGGGTGGGCCACGAGGGAGGGGAGCTGGGCGTTGAAGCAGGAACCGAACACGCTGCGCGGGGACGCCAGGAGCTGGCGGGGGGCAGCTGGCCTGGAACCCGGGCGAGGAGCCCCAGGGTCGCCCCGCCACATACGCCGCCCCCTCCCAGCCGGCCCTCGCGCCTCCCTTTCCCCACCTACCCGGCGTCCCGGGGCGACCGGCGAGTCCTCGGGGCTGCGGCCTGCGGCGGAACGGCCCGGCGGCGGTGCCCGCGGTGCCCGCGGTGCCTGCGGAGGGCGGGAGCGCAGGGCGCGCAGGCGGCTCCACCCCCGGGGCGCCCGCCCCTTCCGCGTCCCGGCGGCGGGAGAGGCGGGGAGGTGAGATCACGCGTTCCGGCGGCGCCGGGGAAGTCCCCGAGGCGCCCCGCGGCGCCCGCCCCCCGCTCCCGGGGCCGGGCACGTCTGTGCGCGGGACGCTGGGCGCACGCCGGGGCGCCCGAGGGGCAAAACTCCTGCCCCCGTCTAGCGGGAAAGTGAGAAAGGAACCACAGTGAAAAAATCAGGTCATCGCGACAGTAACAGTGAAGGGCAATAGTAATAAACGCTTTCAAAGAAATAGAACAATGGGATTGGATATTCTTTTGGGGGGTAGGGCTACCCGAAATTAGGACGGAGGGGAATGGTGGCCACCCTGGAGGGGTTTGGGGACACCACGGGGCTGGAAGCGATGGCATAGTTTGGAACTGCAACCAGATCGTTTTTAAATTCACAGGGGGTTCTACCCTTTTGAGGGGGGAGTCCTGGACCCTGGGCGGACATTTTATTTGCGCATAGTTAAGACGCGGTACCCTCATATTTTTAGGAACCCGCGAAAATGTTTTCATTTCTTTTCATAGAAGAAAGAAAAAAAATGAATATAATGCAGACTTGATTATAATCGTCTTCATACCAATGAGGTCGTAAAATGTAATTTTCATTCATTCATTCATTCATTCATTCATTCATTCATTTAAATGGAGGAAGGGCCTAGGAAAGTCCTAATGCTTTTGAGTCCCTTTTGTCAGTACGGACCAGCTCAGCGCCTTTTCTCAAAATACCATTTGTGGATACATAAAGCAAAATACAGGAGGTTACAAGGAAGTCTGTTATGTTGAAATACATTAATTAAAATATTTTTTAAAAAACAACGTAGTGACCCATCCAGGGATAAATAGATAAGTAAAATGTATTTATGCAGCCTTAAAAAGGAAGGACATCCTGACACCCAATACAGCGTAAATGGACCTTGAGGGCACTGTGCTTAGTGACAGAAGCCAGACATAGAAGGACAGATCCCGTCTAATCCCCCTCCCAGGAGGTCCCTAGAGGAGCCCCATCCAGACACAGACAGTAGATGGTGGGGCCAGCGGCTGGGGGAGGGGGTGGACAGTGAGTGTTTCAGGGACACAGAGGGTCAGTTGGGGAAGGTGGAAAGTTCTGACAATGGATGGTGGGGACGGTTGCACAACAATGTGAGTGTACTTAATGTCACTGAACTGGACACTGAAAAATGGCTAAAAGATCAGTTTTATGTTAAGTATATTTGACCACAATAAATTAAAAAAAAATTTTTGTAAGACACTTTACACTTTTACAAAGAACGATACCAAAATATAAACTGCTCAGGGCTATACCTTTATATTTCTCACATTAACTAACAAGATCTGGTCACCACAGCGATTTTGCAATAGTGCCGGGTGTCAGATGTATTTCGAACCCTTTGCCACAAAGCGATCTGATATGAAAATATCTGGTTTTCTACTGACGACATCACAGTCCTATTGCTTTCACTTGTAATTGAGGAAATGGTCAATATTGGTTGGAGTCAGTGGAAATAATGATATGAATTTTTTTCCCCACAGTTCATGGACTCCCTGAATTCCGTCATCAGTTCCCCAAGGGGTGCACTTTAAGGTTCATGGGAGAGGATGCAAATGAAAGTTAAATGGATGCTAAATCCCCCCCTCCCCCAGGGCACCTTACTTAGTGCCTACTTCTGGTGAGTAAGGCATTTTTTGAGCACCTACTGTGTACCAGGCACATTTAGGCTCTGGGAATACATCAGGGAGGAAGAAATAAGTAGGATCTAACTTTGGAGCCTCTGGAACTGGGGCAGAGAGGGCACTGAATCCATCTTCCTATGCCTGTTTTCTACCTTGTCACCTCCAATCCGCAATCACCAGTTTTTGGTGTCTTCAGTGGGTGCCTGTCCCCACCCCAAACACAGTTTGGTGGTCATCTGATCCCTGTCTTAAAACAAGCCTTCCAGGCAGGCTTGAACATGCCCATTTTGTTGGTGAGAAAACTGAGTCTCAGAGAAGGTAACACGGCTGGAGCACCCTGGCTTCCAGGTGGATAAACCTGAATGCCTGCAGACAGGTGTGGTTGCCCACCTCCCTTCTTCAGTGGAAGAAAGAAAACATTCCAGTTGAGGTTCCCATTCCTATCCAGTTGCTCTCCCTCTTGCTCTGGGAAGTAGGGGGCCTCCATTTGGGTGACCATTTATTCAGGTTTTCACTTTTGTGTGCATAGGCAAGTATCCATGCATGTGATATTTAGTATTCTTCAGCCTGGTTTTGCCTTTTAGTTTACATTGGCCAGAAGTCAGCAAACTTTTTCCTGTAAAGGACCAGATAGTAAATGTTGTTGGTGTTGCAGGCTACCATCTATGTTACAAGTGACTTGACACTGCCAAGGTAACTCAAAATCAATCACAGGTGATAGGTCAATAAATGAGCATGACTGTGTGCCAATAAAATATTTATTTATAAAATCAGGCAGAGGGCCAGACAATGGCCATAGTTTGCTGACCCGGGACATAGGTGGTTTTGACATGTCCCACCTTTTTCTGAGCCAATATATGTAGCCCCAACCTGTTTTTAAGTGGCTTATGGTCTTGCTATGCATGGTGTATCACAATTTATTGAGTCTCCCATCATTGGACATACTGGTTGCTTCCACTATTCCCCCCGAAACAGGCATCACTACCTTATAAAGTGGTGGTTATGAACACAGTGTAGGGGAAATCCGAGTGCTTGGTTCAAATCCTTACACTGTGAGGTAAGGCTGAGGGTGGGCCTCCTGAGTTGTGCCTCAATGTCCCCTTGAGACACAGAGAGGATGTGAGCAGCTGCCTCCTGGAGTTGATTAAAGGATTAGGTGACTTAGTTGACAGTGTTTCTCTAGGGTAGCTGCAGAGAAGGGGAACTTCTGAGTCTTCTCTCAGATGTTGAGAAGACATATCCTCACTCTGGCTGAATACCGCCAGACTCTTCCCCAAATCAGCGCTCCATGTCAACACTCCCCCCCAGGAAGTGAGCAGAAGGGCTCATTTCCTCCATCGCCACCATGTTACTTTCTCTTTCTTAATTTGTACGGAAGGATAGCTTATATATAAATCTTAAAGGGACAGCTCAGAGGACTTTCGTATCTGTACACACTGCCTGCAGCCAACCCCAGATCACTCCCACCCCTAGGAAGCCCTGGGTGCCCCTTCTTCATCACCCACTAGGCCACCGCCAGTCAGATTTTTCTCATCATAGCTTAGTTTCACCTGCTTCATCCAAATGGAACCACAGTACAGATTCTTTTCTGTCTGGCTTCTTTCACTTAACATCAAACCTGTGAGTTTCCTCCATATGGTGGCTTTTAACCTTAAAAGTAAAATAGCTAGTACTTTTTACCAGCAAAATGAGTTTACTCTGGAATAGCGGAGGAACAGAGGAGGGGACTGTTAGTTTATAGAGGAGGCAGTTGGGAGGGGCTGCTTGGAATGAACGCCTATTGGAGGAAAGGGAGAGTTCAGAGCGGTTATGATTTCTCATTGGCCGAACTGCGGCAGTTTCTCACTGGCTGGGCTGTTGCTGGGCCAGGAGAAAATCTCCCTTCCTCCAGCAGGGGTGGCAAAGTGAACTTTCTCCTGCCCAAAATTCACGCATGAGGGTTCCCCCTTCAGGGCTTCCTGACTCCACTCTAAATGAGGCTTCCCTTTATTAATGTTCACCTTGCAAATGTCAGTCATGTATCCCTGTTCATTGCTGTATCATATTCTCTGGTGTGACTCTTCCCGATTCACTTATCTATTCTCTTCTGGATGCACACTTGGAATTGTTTCTAGTTTGGGGATATTAAGAATAAAGCTGCTGTGAACATTTGAGTGGACATCTACTCACACTGGGCGTAAATGCAGGAATGCGGGTGCTAGAACATAGGAGAGGGGACTGCTGTGTAAGTAAGGCCTCGTAAATCCTTGTTCGTAGACTGGAGCCCCTACGAAAAGGCAACATTACCTGCCCTGGCTGGGAGCACGGAGGGGCACCTCAGTTCTCTCTGGGGCGTCACCCAAGATCCTTAGCCCTGGGATCATAATGTGGCTCTGCGATTTTATCTGCAGTTACCACAGCAAAGCACATTGCAGCTTTTAAACGCTGGGAAGAATATGTAAGGCTAAGCAGGAATATGTCACAGGAGCCCAGTGGTCTCAAGCAAGGACTGGCAAGCTTTTCCTTTAAAGGGTTAGAAGGTAAATATTTCAACAGTCTCTGTTGCCTATTTTGGTTTGCTTTAAAACTCTTTAAGAGTGTCAGCTGTTCTTAGCTCATGGGCCATATGCCAACAAGAAACAGTTTTTAGGTGGGAGTGGGTGAAGAACCTCACGCCCTCCTCAGGGCAGGCAAGAGTGGCTAGCGCATCTCCGACTAACAAGACAGGCCTTGTCTGGACATCAGGCCCAGTAGCTGGTCCGGCCCCATCCCACCCAAACCCCTGTGAGCAGAGCAAAGAAGAGACTGAGAAAGCCACAGAAAAATCAGAGCTGCTCAGCCGCTGGGACGCACGCGTGTGTGCCTACACACACACACACACGGGCTGTACTCCACTGCAGGTAAAATTTATTAAGGCAACGCTGGCGCTCCAGGCACTTATGGCTCACTCGGCAGGCCTCATCCCCTTCTGCTCCAGAATAAGCCTCCGCAACTCTGCCTCCCCCACCCTCAGGAGGCCCACTGTTCAGATCAGAGGTCCAAGTCCATTAGCTAAAGGCTGATACACAGGGGCCTTGCTATAGAAAACAAAGTGGGCTGTAAGAACTATATCCATGGTTTTTAAGTTAGGAAAAGAAAAAAAAATTTTTTGGAACCTTCTAGAAAAAAGCTTCCAGGAAACCTCACCCTAATGGTTGATGAGGTGAGGATCACAACCTGCTTCCTCCAAGCTCGGAGAGAGAGGATGGACTGGTTAGTTTTGAGGACCTCAGTTTCCCAAGGGGGCAGCTGAATTGACAGGAGTGGTAAGAATGGTGTGTTTCAAGGTCTGGGGGTCCAGTTCTGCTTGCAGGCCCCTCAGGGAGGGAGGGAGCCTCTCACCCCCCACCCCCCTTCCTGTCTAGCTTACTTCTCTTCTGGGGCTTTCTCAGCGATTCCAGGGGCAAAGGGTCCCACCAGCCACATGATGGGCGTGTTCTGGGCCACATACTCGACCATGTGGTCCAGGGCCTCTCGGGCCTTGGCGACGCGCTCACGGCTCTGTGTCAGAATGCTGCTGGACAGGTCCTGGAAGGAGTGGATGCTGGAAAAGGTGGCCTGGAGGTCCTCCACGTGGCAGCGAGCCCGCTGCACCTGGTCCTTCACGTGGGCAGGCAGCCCCTGGATGCTGGACCCTAGGGAGGTACAGGTGGTCTGCAGCTGCTGAGCAATGTCACGGAACATGGTGAGCGTCTGGAACTCAACCTGCTGAGAGGACAGGATCGGGGGGGAGATGATCAGGACCATCTGCTTTGCAGGGGGGTTAACCGGATCCACAAAAGCCAGGGAAAAAGACAATGGGGCTTCTACAGCAAACCTTCCCCTAGGAGAGGTTGTCTAGCATGGTGGTGCGGCATACTAGTTCTACAAGTCTTGAACTGTGTGGGATATACACTGGTCAAACTGGAAAAAGGCATGGCCATCTTTCCAAAGAAGATACACACACAGCCAGAGAGCCCATGAAAAGGTGCTCAACGTCGTTAGTCACAAGAGGAATGAAGCTCAAACCCACAACGAGACACCACTCCTGGCCCATTGTAGGATGGCCAGCATCAAAGACAGACAGTGACAAGTGCGGGTGACAATGGGGAGAGATCAGAACGCTTGGTTGTTGCTGCTGGAGCAGTTACCTTGTAAAATAGTCCGGGGAGTCCTCAAAAGGCTAAACTATAGAGTTACCACAGGACCCAGCAATTCTGCTCCTAGGTACTGACCTCAGAGAGACAAAAACATATGCTCACACAAAGACTTGTACAGCGCTTTCCACAAGGACCCAAAATGGAAACCACCCAACTGTCCATCGACCGGTGGCTGGGTAAACAAATTGTGGTAAATCCAGACAAGGGAATATTACTCAGCTATGAAAAGTAGAGGAACTCTGACATGTTGCAGTGTGGATGGACCCTGAACACACAGTGCTCAGTGAGAGACGCCAGACACAGAAGGCCACACAGTGTGTGCTCCCATTTCTGTGAAATGCCCAGAACAGGCAAATCCAGACAGAAAGTGGGTTTATGGGTGCCAGTGGCTGGGAGGTGTTGGGGCAAATAGGACTGACTGCTCATGGGGTGATGGAATGTTCTAAATGGATGGTGGTGATGGCCTCACAATTCTGTGAACACCCTTAAAACTACTGAATTATATACT